GGGTTATTGTTTTTATTTTGAAACAAAAGGAAAAGCAAGAATCTTGTAGAATTTATTTCAGTGTGAATGTATGATACGAAAGGAAACTTTTTTCCGAAGATCGAAGGGAATGTTTTCATAAGCCATAAGCTTCTGAAATAATCCGTTTTGGGTGATTTTGAAATCTGGGTTTTGTGTTTTAGATGTTCGTATATTCTTTTTTTCCTTTTTTGACCAATTTTAGTTCGATTTTCTTGGAGGAAGAATCCAGTTTCGAGGGAGCTGGTGTGTTCATACTCTTGAAATTGTTGATTCTCTGGGTTTTTTATTCATTCATGGTTGAATTACTGAGTAGTGCTACTGCATATTCTTTTCATGTGTTGATTGTGTTTATAGAAACTGGAGATTCTTGTTCCATTTTATATGATCATAATTTTATATGCTCTGCTCTTCCCTAATATTCTATCCTCTTTTGACTGTTTACAAATTATAGAGTTTTTAAGATAGATTTAACGTGATTCGTGGCTCGATTGGGAAGTCCAATAAAAACAATCACTTTCATGGTTTAAAATGTAATTTTAGAAAGTATTTTTAAAAATATTCATTTTTAGAAAGTATTTTTAAAAATAATCATTTTTAAAAAATTAATTATTTGAAATTGAGTATAAAAATGATTTTTTTACAAGAAAAAAAGTTAAAAATTTGAACATGGTTTTAAATCAAATTTTGAATGTTCAAATATTCACTCAATGACCTTTATTAACATGATAGGTAATTCAGGTGTACATGCCATAAGTAAACTTTCTACAAGTTGATATATATATATATATATATATATTTGAAATATTATATTTAAATATTTAAGAAAATTATATCTAAATAATGTGAGACCTGAGAATTTTATAACTAAATATATCTTGAATTTCATCAAATTCATCTTTTTTTTTATTGTCATACTAACATGGGTTTGGTGGATTTGTGTTTGATAGTTCAAAATTAACAATCTAAACATGAGATTCTCAAATTATACATTGTTTAGATATGAGTTTTTTTCAAGTGTTTCAATATAATATTTTAAACATACATTCATTTAATGATTAAATATAATGTCTTTACATGTACATTGTTATCATTGTCCAATTCGTACAAATACATGTCAAAATGTCTTTGATATGTTTTGCATGTATCTCTTTTTTTGGATCAAATTCCTAACATTTTTGGTCATTTTCTTAGTCCCGATTCGTACAAATATCATTGTCACATGAATAAAGGCACTTCTTATAAAACATGTGTTTAAAAATACATATTATGTGACACATTTTATTGAAAGATATTATTTTTAAAAACTATTTACTTAATTAATAAATAATAATAATGGTCATATAAAATAACTATTTATTCTCATGTTGCTTTAAAATTTTCATTTCTTCAACAGTTTTTGTGTGCATGCCAACTTCCTAAATACATGAGTAATAAACATTTAAAAATTGAACTTAACTAACAACAGGAAAACGTTTTCCAAAAATATTGTCTTGATATGAGAGGTTCTCTGTGTTAAATGATACATGTTGGTAGCTTGATGATACTTTGTTAAATTGTATGAATTTAAAAATAAATAAAAAAGTCTGGTCAGATTAAAATTCGACTCTCTATTACCCTTGAATGATTTGGGTCTGGTTCAACTGATATCTATTTTCATATAAAGTTCAAATTTCAAATTGTTGGACTGCCATTGGCCCAATACTCTTCTGCTTTTATTGCTATCTTTCACTACAGATAGTTGGACCTGCAGATTTTACTAAGGATTAACAAAGAAATTGAAAAAAAAATGATTTGAATTAGTGTTTGGTTCAATTTTAATTTAATATTATTAAATTGGGTTTGATTTGGTTGTTACTAGGCACTTCATTTTATTTTGAGAAAATAATCTCAGTGATAAAAAATGTCTTATAATATACGATTTTAACCAATTTTGTTTGGATTTGCCAAAATGACCAACTAAATCGCAATGCGATCGATAATTCGCAACGCGATCTCCGGTATCGCAAATCAGTTTCCAGATTCGCAACGCGAACATCGATTATCGCAACGCGAACTTCGACTATCGCAATGCGATTTTCCAAATTCGTTGTGATAGTCGAAGTTCACGTTGCAATTTATTCCAAATTCGTTGCGATAGTCGAAGTTCGCGTTGCGATTTATTCCAAATTGTCCAAGTTTGCGTTGCGATAGTCGAAGTTCGCGTTGTGATTTATTCCAAATTCATTGCGATAGTCCAAAATCGCAACGATTGGTGGTATTGCATTTGTTTCTTAAGAATTTTCTCTAAAAAGATAGTATTCGCGCGGACGTATCGAAGACACGTATTACCATTACCATTACCACGACCACGACCACGACCCGACCCGACCCGAGACGGACGGCAGCGGCGGCGGCGCGCGAGAGTCCCCCTTGTTCTCTATCACTCAACAAGGAAGTGGGAAAGCCAAGCTTTAAATACCATTCCCAATAGTGTTTCCAATACTATGTGTGATTGAGCATTACCAACACTTGTTCCCAATACTATGTGGGATTGAGCCTTAAATAGTGATATTATTTGTGAATTATAGTTAATGACTTTATTATTTGTATGAAAAGTATTTGTGGTTCGTTTAGTTTTCATACAATTCTAATTTATTTTCAATTGATTGTAATTGCATGATAACAATTTTTTTTATTCTCGTAAGTGATGCAATTTTTTTGAATGTTCTGCTTAAAATTGCAATAATCGCGATTGATTGTAGATTGACTTTTAATTATGACATATTTAATCGTATAATACTAATGCAATTGGTTGCTGATTCAGTTGTTTTAAGGTGCATGATTGTTAATTGTTTCCTAAATAATTACATAGTATTGGAAACAAATGTTGGTAATGCTCAATCCCACGTAGTATTGGAAACACTATTGGGAATGATATTTAAGGCTTGGCTTTCCCACTTCCTTGTTGAGTGATAGAGAACAAGGGGGACTCTCGCGCGCCGCCGCCGCCGCCGTCCGTCTCGTCTCGTCTCGTTTCGTGGTCGTGGTAATACGTGTCTTCGACACGTCCGCGCGAATACTATCTTTTTAGAGAAAATTCTTAAGAAACAAATGCAATACCACCAGTCGTTGCGATTTTGGACTATCGCAACGAATTTGGAATAAATCGCAACGCGAACTTGGATTATCGCAACGAATTTGTAATAAATCGCAACGCGAACTTGGACTATCGCAATGCGATAGTCGAAGTTCGCGTTGCGAATCTGGAAACTGATTTGCGATACCGGAGATCGCGTTGCGAATTATCGATGCATTGCGATTTAGTTGGTCATTTTGGCAAATTCAAAAAAAGTTGGTTAAAATCGTATATTATAAGACATTTTTTGTCACTGATGTTATTTTTTCTTTTATTTTAGATTCAATAGTTAAAAGATTGCAATAACCAGAATCGAACAAAAATATTTTCTTATTTTGATATATAGTTAGTTTTAACTTTTATTGATAACATGAAAATAAATACCTTATATTTAAAATACTGAAAATAATTAAATATTTTATAATCAGTGAAATATCATATTGTTCGTTTGTGTTTAATAATAGGATTGGCTTAATTTGTATGTTAAAAAACCATAATCTTATGAATAACCATATTTTTTTCCAAAATCAATATAAATCATTATTATCTCAATTTTACAAGGCATAAATTGAACTAACAAATAAAATATATCTAAATTAAACCCAAATATAATATTTAAATATGATAAGATTTAAATCTATAATATAAAAATTCTCATGAACTCAATTTTACTATTGAGCTAAATTTTCATTACCACGGCAAGAAGTATTTAAATGGTTATTATTAATGTCTTGGAGGTTAGAGGTGAGAACAATATTGAGCTAAAGTTTTATTTTTTAGATGTTTTTTAGAAAAATTATATGGCTTGCAAAAACTTCATCCTTGAAAAACGCTTTTTCTTCTCTATAAATTGTGGCGATGGTAACTGATGCTCGTAAGATTTTATATTAAAGAGTTAATTTTTTAAAATTTTAAAAAGATACGAACTTATAAAATTTAAAGAAAACGAAAATAAATTTTTAACAGAAAACACATAAAAATTTTAAAATATATGATATTTTTAAATTATTAAAAATATTTTTAAAGATACAAAATGATCTCTGACTATAGGACGATGCTCAATTGAATCTCTTATTAAAATTACAAAATGATCTATTGATTATAGGATTTTACTGTGTTAAGTCACCGACTATTAAAAGTAAATGATCACCTAACTATTTATATGTTTCAAATTTATCATTTTATGTTAAATATTGACAATAGGTTGAGCATAAACGTTAATCTGCTAATTATGATAACTTAATTTGTCATTAGTTTTTTAATGAAAGAAGACAAATTTGGAACATATAAATAACCGATTGAGCATTTTGTAACTTTTAATAGTCGATGGACTCAATAAAATAATATCTTATAGTCAAGAGTCCATTTTATAATTTTTAATAATCGAAAAACTTAATAAAATATAGAAAAATTAAAATTTGAAATTACTATTATATTATATCATTAGTGATTGAAATACTAAAAAATAATTTAATTATCAAAGTAAAATTGTGATAACAATTAAGTGATTAAATAGATAATTTACCCATTTAATTAACAAAATATCCTGTCAAAACTAGACATGTCAGAAAATTTGAGGTTTTCGATTCGAAGCAGATGTATGTACAGTAATTACATTATATAAATCCAAACACAAAATCTCATCATAGATTGTTCATAAAAAAATGCTTCTATACTATTTCAAATTAATGGCATTTTTCTTTTTCATTTTCATTTTTCCCCTTCTGTTAATACTTGAACGTATTCATTGGAGTTTCATCATTAAAAAGTTCTTTCAGCCCTTTTAAAATATCAAAGACAAAAAAACAGAAAGAAAACGACAGCAACTTCGATGTTATAAATATAGCACTGGCTTACCTGAGACTCATAGACCGGACCGACCCTTGAAGTCAGAGGCGGGTCGAGAAGCGATTGCCGAATGGTACATAACGTCATGTAACGACGACGATCTGGTTATCATCAATCGGAGCTGCTTCGCCTTCTCATCGGTGAAGGAACCCGGGTAAAACTTCGACCTCGCCAATTTTTGTGGCGGATCCATTTCCAGTTCGCCTTCACTTCTCTCCTTGAACTCAGCTCTATTATATGAATCAATGTAGTCCGGCTCCGAAGACACTCGAAAAAGGGGAACCAACCGGCTGGCGGAGGAAGATGACGAAATACTCTTCCGGCGGCTGGGATCGGACTTGGTGTAACCGGGAACAGCTGAGGCGTAGACTCCAGTGAGGCTACAACTGAGAAGACCATTGAGATTAAAATCTTAATGAAACTGGATTTAAGAGATAATTAGGGTTAGTGGAATTGGGGAACTTTTGAGATTTATAATTATAAACAGAGATAGGAAAGTGAAAGTACGGTCGAATATATTATAATACACACATCATTTTCTCAGCTTGGAAAGATGGAGGGGCAAACCGATAGGACCTGACACACGTAGGTGACTGCCTATAACTCATTGAGTAAAATATATATTTAGTCCCATAATTATTCTTGCAGATATATTTTCGTCATTCAATTATTTTTAAAATTATATTTAATAACGTTTTAATCTTTTATCGTTAAAAAATTTAATAGTAATGGTAACATGTATTTATAAAATAATATCATATCATCGTTAAAAAAATAAAAATAAAATTATCACTTTAGTAGTTTTATCTATTTTTAATAGCGAGTGATTAAAACGGAACAAAATCATAATATTACATATTATTTAAAAAAATAATTAAATGACTAAAATAAACCCATAAGAATACATTGACGACTAAATATATATTTTTATCCTAATTGTTGTTACTTTGTTAAAGCTTTTCTATTATCAATTATTAATTAATGTATATAATAAAATATTAAATCTTCAGGTAAATTATTTAATTAATCACTTTCGTTTAAGTTTTGTACAATTTTTATGACACCAAAAAAATAATATTTGATTATTTTCGTTTTTATATATTTAAGATTTAGTCAATTTCATATTTATTTAACTAAGATGTGGTCACAAAGGGTTAATAGTCGTTAAACCTTTAATAGATTGTTGGCGTGGCACGATTAATTTATAAAATTAAAATGGGTAAACTATACAATGGTTACTAAAGTTTGAGTAATTTTTAATTTTCCTCACTAAAGTTTCAAAAGTAACAAATTGGTCACTAAAATATCAAATAGATCATTGAGCAATGATTTTATATATGATTTACCCCAAAAGCTTTCTAATTTTTCCATTTTTTCAATTTTAATTTATATACTTTTTAAATTTTAAAAATAGAACTTAGAAATTAACTTTTTTTTTGACATAAATGTAACAACCCGGAATAAAATTTAGAGGAAAAAAAATTTAATTAAGTAATTTGGCAAAAATTTGAGGATTAAATCGAAAGTTTTCAAAATTGTAGGCCATTTTAGAAGTTAAAGGAAATTCAGGGACCAAACCCTGCATTACTCCTTTTAGTGTCGGCAGAAAATTTCATATAAACATATGAATGGTTTTCTGTTTTCAAAACAGAAAACAATTGTGAAATTCTTCCTCACGCACACAACTTCCAAACTCGATTCCGACGCCGTCCGAATTCCGATCGTTGTTTTGAAACCACCGTTGTGTTCATCATCGAGCGAGGAGCAAAACCTTCAAATTAATTGAAGCGAAACGCGGCCAAACGTCGGGAATTTCCAGTCAAAGTAGCGACGGTTTTGTTAGCTCTATCGCCGAGAAAATCTTAAATTCACCGCTGATCGTTGCTCTGTTTACGACACCTCCCGCACCATCGTGTTCCTTGTGCCGTTCCGAGTTCACCGGTGTCAACCTTGTCCGCCGTAGACGGCGGCGCGTGGGGAGGTGGTGCAGTCAAAGATTCGGACGATTTGAAATCGAGCTCTCCGCCGTTCAAAAATTTGAACCGATCGTTGTAAGTATCTTGAAATCGCTCAAAATAATTTTTAGAAATTTTTCCGGGATTTTTAGGGCCCCGGAGGACGCCTCACGCGCCACACGCGCCGTCGCAGGGCGAGTGGCTGCTGGAAACCGGTTTAACCGGTTTTCAACCGGTTCTGACCGGTTTGACCGGTCTGAACCGGTTTGACCGGTCTGACCCGACCCGACCGTTGACCCGACCCGACCCGACCGTTGACCGTTGATCGTTGACTTTCTTTGACCAAAACTTAAAATGGCTTTGACCGAGCATTAAACGACCGTTAATCTTTTCCGAGTATACCTATCCTGATAGTTTTCGACGTGCCGAATCCGTTTCCGTGGTCCGTTTTGTCAAATTCGAATCCGAAAGTCTCCAAATCTACGGTCAAAGTGGTTGACTTTGACTTTGACCAAGAATTTGAATTTTCGAAAAGTCATACTTTATGTTTTTCGACGCCCTGATTCCGATTCCGTAATCCGTTTGGCCAAATTCAGACTCGAAATACCTCAAATTGATAGTCAAACCCGAAAAATGCGTATATACTTAAGAAGTTTAGCTTTGAACAATTGAATAGGATTTGAGACTGATAAATATTATTGTTTGAAGGTACAAGAGACTCTCCGGATCGTTCGACAGCTCGACCTAGCTCTTCTAGATCAGTTAAACCACGTGTGCCAGTATTCACCCGTTCAAAAATTGTAGCAGAGCGTGGTGAAACCAGCAATCAGTAGATTTGTTATTTGAATCTATTGTCGAGGTGTGTTCCCTACTTGTTATTGAACTGTTTTATTGGTTTTAATATGTGGTACACCGAATTCATTGGCTATTGTTTTATGGATGCACCAATTTAATGTGACAATTTATGGAATATGGCTGCTATCTAATTTTTGTTTTGAAATGGTATATGATTACTATGTTTTTGGATTTATGGAGTTTATGTCACGGTGCAATTGAATTTTGGAATTGAAATACGATGGAATAGCTCTGATCAAGCTAACTGGGCCTAATGTGACTCTTGAGGGCCCCAAGATGTTTCATTAGGTCGGCTTTCCTTTGCTGTGTGCTTAGGGTAAGCTATATGGACTTATTGACTTGGGCTTAAGGATACAAGCTTCAGAGCCTATCCTTAAGTCGGCTTTCTTTTTGCTATGTGCATAAAGTAAGCTATATGGAAAATAATTTTGGGAACTACTGATGGTGTACCAGAAAAGGGTTTAAAATATGATTTTCAAAAAGTTAAACTCTTTTACGAATTTGTGAGATTACTGGACTATGATTTGTACCTATTGTGATTTTATGGAAATGTTGGGACACACTGAGCCTAGCTCACCTTTTGAAAATGTTTTCCCCTTTCAGATACTGTTGGGTAGATACCTTGGTTCGAGCACTTGGAGGATCAACATATCTCTTGAAGTAAATCAGATTGTAATGTTTTTATCTGGCAAGTTTACTTTATTTTGGTGACATGGACCTTATTTTAAAATATTGGATTTTATAATGATAACACTTTTGCTACTACTGCTCGGTTTATTGTGATTTTGAATTTGAAGACATGTTTTAAATTAAATTATTATTTATTTGTACTATATTTACGAGTTGGTTTTTGATAGTATAAATTGTTTATAATTTCATGTTTTATAATGTGATTTTATATTGATGGAATAACGGTTGCGAAAAATGTCTTTAATAATTATAATGTGATCCACTAGACTTAGTCGAAACGCATAGGCCGGGTCTAGGGGGTTACATTTATTGGTATCAGAGCTTTTGGTTTTTAACCCTCGGACTGTGTATGAGTCCACATTGAAAATACGGTTTTGAAATATTTTACAAAACGAGTTACTAAGGCCATGTCACAAAGTTATTAAGATTTTAACTATGTTTGAGACTCCAAGTGCTTATCTAACCCTAAGTTTTATCTTCTGTAGTAAACTTGAGATCCATCAAAATGAGTGCTAGACGTAGTCGTCGAACTAGCCGTGGACGAGGTCGAGTGGCTAGATTCGCAGATCCGATCGATGAGATACGGGTAGATCCCCCACCTCCGATAGGTGATCATGCTCCTACGACCCCAACGGATCTGCCTCCTACCGCTGGTATTGGCATGACTACACCGATAATAGGAGCGACCGATATTGAGTTAGAGTCTACCGGAGTTGCTTTGGATGAGAATTTTGGTAGACAATTTCTGCAGTTAATACAGGGAGCAGTCAGAGCTACTGGTGTTGTATCTGAGGTTCCTATTTCGCAGACTTTGATTGCCAATGGAGTTAGAACTTTTGGGGGACAGATAGGTGGAGCTCCTACTGAAGCTGAGGATTGGCTCCAGGATACAGAGAGACGCATGGATCAGTTGGGTTTGGACTCAATTAAGAGATATCAGGGTACTGTGGCGATGTTAGATGGCAATGCCTACACTTGGTGGGAGTCAGTGACCAGTAGTGTTCCTACCGATCGTTTGACCTGGAATTTCTTTAAGGATCGCTTTCGGAGCCGTTTTCTGGGAGAGCGCTACTTAGCTCAGAGACGACAACAGTTTCAAGACCTGGTTCAGGGAGACATGACTGTTTCTGAATATGAGATCGAGTTCCTGAAATTGCTGAAGTATGGATTCAGTATGGTACCTACGGAGAGATCGATGTCGTAAATTTGCCCTTGGACTCAGATACGAGCTGCGTAGGCAAGTTGTAACCCATCAGGATGAGATATTTGATGTGCTGGTGGGCAGAGCCAAAGATGCGGAAGAGGTGGAGTTTTTAGCTTCTGGTAGAGAGCGTGTTGATCAAGATCGATCTAAGAAATTTTCAGGCCCGATGGAGTCATCAGCACAGTCCGGAAAGAGGACTCGTACTTCAGCCCCTCATAGAAGCAATACACGTTTCAGGCCTGCAGCATCCTCACCTTTAGCTGTCAGTCGAGGCGGTTCCTCGTCGTATTATAATGGGCCCCTTTGTGAGTATTGTGGTAAACAACACTCAGGAGAGTGTCGTAAGAAGATGGGTCTTTGCTATCAGTGTGGATCTAGTGGTCATTATCGGAGGGATTGTCCTCAGTTAGTTTCGTTTGAGCAGACCACTACCCAAACTCCTGTGCATTCGCAGACTACAGTACAGACCCCAATTAGAGATCGTAGTCAAGAAAAGACTCGAGGATCAGCGTCCAGGACAGACAGTAGAGCCCGACCTCAGCAAAATAGAGGGCCAACAGCTTCTGAGGCTAGACAACCAGCTTTGGTTTATGCAACTAGACGTCGTGATGACAGAGATGAGCCTGAGGTTATTGCAGGTACATTTACTATTTATTCTACCCCATACTTTGCATTATTGGACAATGGTTCCACTCACTCCTATGTATCGAGCTCAGTATCTCAAAACCTTCAGATTCCGATCGAGAACACTGAAAATACTGTTACAGTTACAAGTCGAGTAGGACAAGCGGTATTAGTGAATAAAGTATTCCGGCGTTGTCCTCTCGAGGTTCAGGGAGAAATTTTTCTCGCTGATCTTATGGAGCTTCCTTTAGAGGAGTTCGATCTAATTCTTGGAATGGAT